CTGTTTCCTGCCTCTCACTGCTGGGCTGCAACGAAGCCGAATCGCAGGCCAAGTTGCCTAAGGCGGATGCCGCGGCCGCGGATGCAACTCCGTCGGATGGCGAAACCACTACGGCCAACAACCGCGCCTCTGCGGAAACCGCGCCGAACGCGAAAGAGACCCCGCTGGCCACCGAGCCGCCAACGGTCTACGAAGTTTCGCAGGTGATCGATGTTCGAACCCTGCCGCGGTTGGAAGTGGCTCAATCGTACGATCAACAAGTCGGCTCGATGTATTACGTGGCCAAGAGCGATTTAAAGACGGCTGCCGCGTTCTACGAAAAGCTGTACACCGACGCGGGCTGGAAACCATCGAAGGAGATGGGCGGGAGAAACGAGACCGCAACCAGCTTCCAGATGGGTTTAGAGAAAAACGGCTACCTGGCATTCTTCGCCGTTTCGGCCGACGAAGAAAACCCAGGCCAAGTGAACATCTCGCTCAACACATTTCCCAACATCGACAGCCGTCAGCTTCCTCGCGCCGAGGGATGTGAAGTGGAGCACGGTGCTCAGTCTTCAACCATGTTGGTAAGCGAAGCCCCCGTGAAAGAAGTCGCCGAAGCCACGCGCGAGTTGCTAACCTCGGCCGGCTGGATCGAGCACAGCCACTCGCCGATGCCCTCGCCCGACATGGCGGTGATCAACCTGGTGAAGAATGGAATTGGGTTGCTAGCCTATGTCAGCGTGGCGCCAGCACAAGGCGGTAAGACAGCGGTTCAATACGCCTTCACCATCATGGCGAATGACGTACCGATTCCCGCAGGTGCACAAGAGGTGCAGATGACCGAGTCGATGCCTCGCATGGAATGCCTCGCCCCCGGCGGGATGGACGAGAACGTTGCCTTCTATCAGCAGAAGTACGCCGCGGTTGGCTACGAACCGGTGGAGAACCTCTGCAAGGTTGGGGATAAGAAATCCGCGCTGGTGTTTCAAACCGCCTCGGGCACTTCGCCCACCCGAAAAATCGTACTGGTTGAATTGACCCCTGAAGACGATTCCACTCGGGTACGCCTCGAACCGCTCTCGGACGAGAACATCGACCCAACGGGCGAGCTGGCCGACACCGACAACTCCGCAGAAGAAGCAATGCCCGAGCGTCCGCTGGATCTGGCCGATGTGGAGGCCTTGGAGGAGTTCGCCGAAGAAGACGAATTAATGGCCGAGGCCGAAGACACGCCCAAGCATCCGGCGGTGATTCGCACCTTCGGCGATGACAGCGTAACCGTGAAAACGTTGGCTCTCTCGCCCGACGGCAAATCTCTGGCAACCGGCGGCTATTCCTTCATCGCCTACGACGTAAACACCGGCGAACGTATCGATGGCCCCGATCCGTTCAGCGACACCAACACAGTGGCCTACTCACCCGAAGGCAAACTGTTGGCACTTGGCCTCTCCGATGGAAGCCTCATCGTGTGGGATGTGGCAGCCGGCGAAGAGCACTACGCCCTTGAAAGTGGTGATTATTCCATCGAAAGGCTGTGCTTCTCGCCCGACGGGAAGACTCTGGCCGTGGGTGACACCGATGGCGACTTAACCCTGTTGAAGGCCGACGACGGCGAAGTGCTGAATTCGCTCTCCGCACACGAGGGTCTCTTCAACGGGCTGGCCTTCTCACCCGACGGAAAGCAAATCGCCACTGCTCGCGATCAGGTTCGGCTGTGGGACGTGGCTAGCGGAGAAAAAGTGGCCGAATTCAAAGATCCCGACGGAGCGATCATTGGCGACATCGCCTTCTCGCCCGACGGGAAGACGTTGGCAGTTGCCGGGTTCGATACCAACATCGAACTGTGGGACATCGCAAACGGCAAGCGAATCAATGTTTTGGAAGATCACGACAGTCCCGTGGCCGCTGTGGCTTTCTCGCCCGATGGCAAAATTCTGGCCAGCGGTAGCTGGGGCTTCGAAGTCGTGCTGTGGGATGCCGCCAGTGGAAAACGTCTGCGTGTGCTCACTGGGCATGCCCAAAGTGTGAACGACCTGGCCTTCTCGGCCGACGGCACGCAACTCGCCACCGGGGCCGACGACGGACTCGTGCGTCTGTGGGACGTTCGCTCGGCGCTCGAACATCCGGAGGCCGAATCTCCCGTGCCCGATCTGGCCAACTCACCCTATGCGGCCGATGAAGACTTCGGCCTGGAGGAAGAAACAGTCGCGGGCGCGGAGCTGGAAGAAATGCCTGAGGATGATCTGGCCAACGACTTCGGCGAGATGGATCAGGACGAGGTCGAAGGTCTGCCACTTCCGCCCAACCATCAGGGTCTCTCGAACGCCGGAACTCAGTTCGCCCGCACGATCGAGACTTCCGTTCAGATGTCGCTCCCCGAGGTGTTGGCCTTCTATGTGGCCGAACTCACCGAGCGGGGCTTCCTCCCGGCCGAAGAAGGCGAGGTGAACGAGGAGCTGGCCGAGATGAGCTTCACAGGGCCCGACGGACCGTTGACGCTCACGCTCGAGAAGTTCGGTGCCGATACCCGGGTGAAGATGGAACTCAAGCGATCGGCCGTGGCCAAAGCCGCCGGGATTTTGCCCGAGGAAGGGAAGGCCCGCGTGATTGTGGGGAACCAGACTGAGGGCAACGCCTCGATCACGATCGGCAAGGTCACACTCGAAGCCGGTCCGGGCGAGGGAATTGAGAAGCCCGACGGGCCTACGGCAACCCTCGAGCCCGGGAAATATACGGTCACCCTCACTCGCGAAGGTGAATCTCCCATGAAGGAAGAAGTTGAGCTGGGGGCCGACGAAACCTGGGGCGTGATGATCGTCCCGCCGGGACCGATCGTCATCCAGATCTACTAACGCCGCCGGGTGTACTAAAACGCCCTTAAATGCCTGAAAAACGCCGGCACTGAGAGCAGAAATCTCGGTGCCGGCGTTCTTTTTGGGCCTCCTGCTCGCTCTGTCGCGATATGGAAACGGCCCCCGCTGCCGAACTCCTCAAAAACTGGGGTGAACCTGAGGCCAAAGCCCTCTGTCGGTACTTGTCGGTGCTGATAGGGGGGGCTAAGATCACAGGCTTACCAGTTTTTAGGGGAGTGAACATGCGGCATGTGCTTTCGGCGCTCGTGCAGAACGTCCCGGGTGTGTTGGCCCACATTTCGGGGATGTTGGCGTCTCGAGGTTACAACATCGACAGTCTGGCCGTCGGCGAGACGGAGACGCACGACCTTTCGCGGATGACTTTCGTCCTCGAAGGCGATATTGCCCTGCTGGAGCAGGTCCGCAAGCAGCTCGAAAAGATCGTTACCGTGGTCCAGGTTCAGGACATCAGCTCGCAAGACTTTGTCGAGCGTGACCTGATGCTGATCAAGATCGCCGCCCCCTATGGAGAGAAGCGAAGTTCGGTCAAAGAGCTGGCCGAGATCTTTCGCGGGCGAATTGTCGACATCAGCCGCGAGGAACTCATCGTTGAGATCTCGGGCGAAGAGAAGAAGATCAACGCCTTCATCGACCTGATGCGACCTTTCGGGATTCGCGAGTTGGCCCGAACGGGTCGGATTGCCCTAGTCCGCAGCGGCTGCGAGTTGAACCCCACCGAAGAAAACACGGCGGTCGAAACCTCGTCCTAAGAGATTCGGACTTCCAACCACGAACGTGCTGGCCCTTCGCGGGTCGATTGCATTTGCTTTGCGTGGGGGATGTCATCTTCAGACGTTGTTTCCAAGCCCAACGATAACCCTATTTCATTTGCAAACATTCGAGATCGATCTGAGCGGGGAAAACTCACATGCCGGTTACCATCTACTACGACAACGACGCGGACCTGTCACTGCTGAAGAACAAGACCATCGCCATCCTCGGCTTTGGCTCGCAAGGTCATGCCCATGCCCTAAGCCTGCGTGATAGCGGTTGCAACGTCATTGTCGGCCAACGTCCCGGCAGCCCCAACTACGACTTGGCCGTCGAGCACGGTTTCAAACCCGTAAGCCTGGAAGAAGCCACCGAGAAGGGCGATCTGGTCAATGTTCTTCTGCCCGACGAAGTGCAGGCCGACATCTACAAGGCCCACATTCGCGACCACCTGAAACCGGGCAACATCCTCATGTGTTCGCACGGCTTCAACGTGCACTTCGATCAGGTTGTCGCCCCCGAGGGAGTCGACACCGTGCTGGTCGCCCCCAAAGGCCCCGGCCACTTGGTTCGTGCTGAGTTCGAACGGGGTGCCGGCGTGCCGTGCCTCATCGCTCTGAGCGAAGGTGCCAGCGATGAATCGCGTCAGTTGGGCCTGGCCTACGCCAAGGGCATCGGCGGAACCCGCGGCGGGGGGATCGAAACCACCTTCGCCGAAGAAACCGAAACCGATTTGTTCGGCGAGCAAGTCGTGCTCTGCGGCGGCGTGAGTGCCCTGGTGAAAGCCGCTTACGAAACGCTGGTCGAAGCCGGCTATCAGCCCGAAATGGCCTACTTCGAATGCCTGCACGAGCTGAAGCTCATCGTCGACCTGTTCTACCAGGGCGGGCTGAGCTACATGCGGTACAGCATCTCGAACACCGCCGAATACGGCGACTACAGCCGTGGGCCGCGAATCGTCACCGACGAGACCAAGGCCGAAATGAAGAAGGTCTTGAATGAGATTCAAACCGGGAAGTTCGCCCGTGAGTGGATCTTGGAGAACAAGGCCGGAGCCGCCTCGTTCAAAGCCACCCGTCGCCTCGAGCGCAACCACCCGATCGAAGAAGTCGGCCGCAAGCTCCGCAGCCTGATGTCGTGGATCGACTCGAAAGAAGTGAAGTAGCAAGCCTCGAGTGCTGCAAGCGATTGCCGGACACCACAGCAGCGACCTGTAAGGAACGCACTCCGTGGTATTCCGATGACCCTGCCGATTCGTGGAACGCCATGGAGAGCGTTCTCTACAGTCGGTCTGGCTCACCGCTCGCACATACGCTACTTGCCTTACGGCGGCGTACTCGGGAAAATAGCATAAAAGCCCAGACCGCAACCTCCTTGCTGCAGACAGGCTGACTTATGCCCCTGACCGAGACCGAAGCTGAATCGAGAAGACTGTACGCCGAACTCGAGCCCGGCGATAAGGTTCACGTCGACCATACGATCAAGGTGGGCCTTTCGTCCTGGCACAAGACCATCACCGGGACGGTGGAATACAAGGAACGTCGTCGCAATGGGATGCACTACAAGCGAGCCAACGACGACAAGGTCTATACCGATCATCTCGTGCTGCGATTGGAAGACGGCGAACTAACCTCCGTGACGATGGACGAGTTCACGGTCCTCAAACGAGTTTAGGCTTGCTTCGCTGCGAGAGATTTCAAGTGCCTGCCTTAGGGCGCTGCGGACTGCTTGTCATTCCGTATTCCTCAGGGTGACGGCCCGCAGCACTTCGTCACCAGAAACCTGCACCGGCAGACAAGCGGTCGGCGCCATCCGCAGCTTGCATTCATGTCGCAACCGTCGCCACAAGACGCCACCTCGCTGTTCTCGCGCCACTCGCGCAAGTTCTCCGACCAGCGGTTCGTCTATCCCGTGGTGAGCCGCCGCTCGGGCGGGATCTCGATCGGCGTGAATCTCAACCCCGACAAGATCTGCAACTTCGACTGCATCTACTGCCAAGTCGAACGGGTTAGCCACAGCGTCACACGATTCGTCGAGTCCGACGCCCTGCTGGCCGAACTAGACAACACCCTGCGGCTCGTCACTAGCGGTGAAATCTACGACGACCCGCTGTTTAGCTCCACGCCCGAGAACTTGCGACGCCTGAACGACATCGCCTTCAGTGGCGACGGCGAGCCAACCACCTACCGCAACTTCGACGAGATCATCGACAAGTGCGCCGAGGTGAAACGACGCCATGGGCTGGAATACGTAAAAATGGTGCTGATCACCAACGCCAGCATGTTCCACCGCCCGGGCGTTCAACGAGGGCTAAAGATCCTCGAACGCAACAACGGTGAGATTTGGGCCAAGCTCGATGCGGGCACGGAAGACTACTTCAAGCTGGTCGAACGCACGAAGATTTCATTCCGCCAGGTGCTGGACAACATCGCGGCGGCGGCTCGCGAGCGTCCGTTGGTCATCCAGACGATGTTCATGAAAATCGACGGGCAACCACCTTCGACGGAAGAGTTGGACGAATACTGCAACCGGCTGAACGAGATTCTTGAGGCCGGCGGTAGTCTCAAACTGGTGCAGGTCTACACCGTTGCCCGCCTTCCGGCCGAATCGAACGTAACCCCACTGAGCCACAAGGAAGTCGACGCCATTGTCGAACGAGTGAAAGCCAAAACCGGACTGACGGCCGAACCGTTCTATGGGCCGAACGTGCCGGCCGAAGAAGCATAGAATCCAATCGCTCCACTACTCGGCCTCGTCTCCGAACAGGTCCTTCAGCAGACTTTCGTAGCCCGAAGACGTGACGCCCGAGATATCGTCTTCGAGTTCATCCAGGTTGCGGGGAAGCGATTGCCAAGGGTCGATCGAGTCGTCCAGCGGGGGTGGCAATTCGCATTGCGGCTCGAGGAAACGCACGTTCTTCACCGTGCTCTTAGCCGGTCGGGTTTCCTTCGAGGTGACGATCCCTACGCCCGAGTCGCCAATCTTGGCAGCCAGAAACTTGGACAGCCAGGGATCCGACCAGGGCGAGACTTTGCTGTAGCGAGGATAAGGGCGACCACTGCTGCCCTCATCGCTGGAGAGCACGGTGCAATGAATGGTGGGGGTGGACATGATTCAGCGTTCCCTTGCGATAAGACGGCCAAAGGTGAAAAGAGCCGCGAGCAAACTCCTGCCGGCCAGAACAGCCGGGACGCCTCGTTCTCACACATGGAGAAAGGACAAGTGAGACGTGCAGGAGTAATTAGCAAAGGCCGTGCCGTAAGTCTCGCAGCGCACGAAGAAATCCGGGAATCGCCGGAAGTCGCGCGGAGAAAGTGACTTACATCAGCGGCGTTAAAGTTTGCCTAATTTACGATCAAACGGCAGTCACACCAGACTTCCGCGCGGTGATTGCAACGCCCTGTGCCGAGTTGGAACCTTTTTCAAAACTGCCAGCATTCAGAAGGGCAGAAACGGTTCACTCCTCCGGCTTCGCCTCTTCGGCTTCTGCTTGAGCTGCTGAAGTCTCGTCATCATCCTCGATGCTGCCATGTTCGTAGGTATCGAGCTGGGTGACACTGAGGGTCTTCGACATATGCTCACCCGGGAAGACCCAGATCTCGCCGAACAGGTCGTTCTGCTCGGCTCGAACACCGTGATGGCGGGTGAGTTCGAGGATGGCCAACACGAGGCTGATAATGGTCGAACGATGGGCCGGCATCGTGATCAAGTCGGCCAGCGCCACGCGGCCTTCTTTCAGCAGTCGACCGTGAATCCGCTCCATGTACACGTGAATGGGCGTGTCGTCGTAGACAATGCTCGAAGTCTTGGAGACCTTGCTTTCACGAGCCATCCGCCCCAGGGCACTAACCAAGTCCCACAGTTCGATGTCGTGGATCGGCTCGTCGGCCAGGTTCCGCTCGCGCGGTGGCAGGTCGTTTTCCAGCCGGGGAAAGCGTTCCTGCCAGCTCCGGCTGCGGTCTTCCAGGATGCTGGCCGCGTCTTTGAACTTCTTGTATTCCAGCAGTTGCCGCACCAGTTCCTTGCGGGGATCTTCCAGCGGCTGGTCTTCTTCCTCGTCGTCCCGCGGTAGCAACGACTTCGACTTGATCTCGACCAGCATGCTAGCCATGGCCAGAAAGTCGCCCACAGCGTTCACGTCGAGGAACTCAAGCACCTCGAGATGCTCGAGATACTGGTCGGTGATGAGCGCGATCGGGATATCGACGATCTCCAACTCGTGCTTTCGCACCAGGTAAAGCAGCAGGTCCAAAGGACCGCGGAAGATGTCGAGATCGACGCGAAAGTTCATAGGTGGCTGATTCGGGTTACTTGACGGGCCTCAGCAGGATGAAAGGTCACCATTTCTAGCCTATCCGAAGAAGCTCTCGAAGGCGAAGCCCAGTCGATGGGCCCGGCAGCCGCTGAAATCTCCAGGGAAAGGCTGCTGTTGCACTTTCAGGAACCTTTTCGCTTCGCGATAGTATGGCAGTACTCGCGGGTGGGACAGGTACCACTCCCGGGGAAACGCACCGGATCCGCCGAGCGGATCGACGACCGTCTGCTATCACGAATCACGCCAAGCCGCGCACGCTATGAATACTCCCCAAGTCAGCCTGGTCACCGGGTCCAGTGGTTTCATTGGTTCGAACCTGGTCGAGCGCCTAGCCGAACTGGGGCAAGAAGTCCGCGGCTTGCATCGCTCGCCGGCCCCGGAAGGACAATATCCCGAGGGCGGACTGGCCTCTGAGCGGCGGGGCGACATTCTCGATGTCGACTCGCTGCGCGCCGCGATGGACGGCTGCACCCAGGTCTTCCATCTGGCGGGATACGCGAAGAACTGGGCCCGCGACCCGCAGACGTATTGGGATATCAACGTCGGGGGCCTGAAAAACGTTCTCGATGCGGCCCGCACCTCGAGCGTTCGCCGAGTGGTGTGGACCTCGACGTTCATGACGCTCGGCCCCACGCCGCCCGGAGAGGTGTGCGACGAAACCTACGAGCGACCCGAGCATCCGGTCTACACGCACTACGAAGCGAGCAAAATGGATGCTGAGAAGCTCGCTCGTTCTTATGCCGAAGAACATGGGCTGGAAGTGGTCACCGTCTGCCCATCGCGCGTCTTCGGGCCGGGGTTGCTCACCGAGGGTAATGCCCTTTCGAAAGTGATCGACGATTACGATCGCGGCAAAGCCCCGTTCTTGCTCAACGGCGGACGCAATGTCGGCAACTATGTCTACGTGCAAGACGTGGTCGAGGGGCTCCTGCTAGCGATGCAGCATGGTCGCTCAGGCGAGCGGTACATCATCGGCGGCGAGAACAAGTCGCTGAAAGAGTTCCTCGACACGGTGGACGAACTCAGCGGTAAGCAGCACTTTCGCTTCACGGTGCGGTGGCCTGCCTCGTTGACCATCGCCTATATCCTGCAGTGGCGGGCTCAGTTGTTCGGCATCTATCCGCTCGTCACGCCGCCGTGGGTGCGAACGTTCATGGCCGAATGGGCTTACAGCATCAAGAAAGCTGAGGACGAATTGGGCTATCGTCCCATGCCTTTCAAAGACGCCATGCGTATCACCTACGACTGGCTACTGGAACAACGAACCTGAGGAGACGACCGTGAGCGAAAGTGGTTGGCGGGCCCTGATCGCCAAGGAAGAATACCGACCGGCGATTGCGGCTTTCACCACGGCGGCTGTCTTCTGCCTGTGGAATGTATTCTTCGACCCTCGATGGTACGTGGCCAGCCTGGCCGATTCGTTCGCCATGACCGGCAACACGGTGATCGATGCCGAGCTGTTTCGGGCCTTCGGCAACGTGTTGGTGATCGTGCTGCTGGTGGCCATCATCCGTTTTGTGTTTCAGCAGTCGGTCGCTGAATACGGGCTGGGTCTGGGCCGTTGGTATCGCGCCCCCATCATTCTGATCGGCACCCCGTTACTACTGCTGCCGGCTTACTTGGGTTCAGGCCAAGCCGCATATCAGGCACATTATCCAGACACGCCAGGGCTCACCGAGGAGCCATTCTCGGTGTTTCTGGTACACGTGGCACTGATGGCCACGTTTTATGTTGCGTGGGAACTACTGTTCCGTGGCTTTCTGCAGTCGGCCATGGTTCCGAAACTTGGTGCTGCGGGGGCCATTGCGGTTCAAACGCTGGCCTCGAGCCTGGCCCATGCCGATCGGCCTGATACCGAACTGTTGGGGTCGGTCTTAATCGGGGCAGTGTGGGGCATCCTGGCCTACCGCACCAATTCGATCTGGCCCTCGTTCATGCAACACATGCTGTTGGGCATGTCGCTGGATTACTTCCTCTGCTTCTCGTAGCAGGAAGCAGGAAGTAACGCGGACCACCGTTCTTCAGAACAACCGGCCTGCTAGAAACCCGAGGTCGCCATGGTGTTGCGCCACAGCCTTCCGAGCACATTCCGGAGGCTCGGGTAGTTGGTCTGCCGGTAGGGAGAATCTTCAGGCAGTTCGGCCATCAATCGACGATGGGCTTCGGCCAGGTTGTGATAGGGCATCGAGGGGAACAAGTGGTGCAGAGCGTGGAAGCGAAGTCCCACGGGTGCCCACAGACCACCGAGCAGTGCCGGTCGTGGGACATTCACCGTATCGACGAGCTGTTCGGCAAAGGTCACTCCTTCGTCACCCTTGAGCAAGTAGCGATGTGCCGCCAGCGTGCGAATGGAGTTTAGCGTGATAATGCACACCGCAATGCTGTAGGCATAGGGCGCGAAGTACCAGGGAAGAACACCGGTGGCTATCAGCACCCCGGCCCCGATGAGTTCGAGAAAGCAACCAATCTCCTGCAACCGCCACAGCTTGCGTTCTTCGACAGTCGGCAGCGGCCGTACGAAGCGGTAATCGATGACCATTGATGAGGTGCGCTGGGCGACCCAATTGCGAATGCGAGGACTGAACCACGTGATCGGCGTGATGACGGCAAAGCGCAAGATGGCAGCCGCGGGAATCAGAAAACTATGACCGATGTAATACAGAATGTAACGCGCCGGCAGGTGGACGAACGGAATGTACTCACCATCTTCGTCGGTGCCATAGTGACGCCGGGCATGATGCGATACGTGGATGTGATACAAGAACGACGGCATGCAAAACGGTAGCCCGAGAAGCAGGTTCCACACAATGCGGAAGTTCTTGAAGCTCGCGCGGCGGAAGTGTGTCAGCTCGTGGGTGAATAACGCCGCACGGTAGTAGGCCAAAACCGAAACAACGTACAAGCAAACAGCCACCGGCCAAGGAACCTGCAGGAACAGCACGATCAGCGAGCTGACGGCCCCGACCGCGCAGGACAAGAGAAAGTCGGTCCAGTAGATGCGCGGATTCGGCTCGAACAGGTCTCGAACGATTTGCCGGGCTTCCCCGATGGAAATCTTAGGCTCTTGAACGGCAGGCTTGAGCATGGTGCAAATTCGCCAAGTCGAAGTGCGAACGGTCTTCAGAGAACAATAGGTGTCTCTAGGCAAGCATCGGTCGCTGGTTTGCCTTCCATGAGAATCATCAGTCCTGGGAATACTGCCCTAAGGGACCGCACGGTTTTACATTCCGCTGCGGTAGACAATGAACCGGGTGGTCAGTTCACACGCCTTTGCGACCGCTCATAATCGGATCAATCCATTTTATCGCACAGGCCCTAAGGGTCATTTATCATGCATTAAAATGGGCAGCTTGTGAACGCCCCAACGGCGGGATAGCATCGATTTCTGGGAATCAAATCTGTACTGAGCGGCTGGCCAATATTGATGTCGAGTCACGACGAGGTCGTCATTACTGGGGTGGGTGTTGTCAGCCCTCTGGGTACGGGTGCAGATCAATTCTGGAGTGCGATTTGCTCAGGCAGCAGCGGGGTTCGCGAACTCGAGATGTTTGCCGGATCCGCACTCCCCGTGCGATTTGGCGCAGCGGTCGAAGACTTCGACCCGAAGCTCTATGTAAAGCCACGCAAGAGCTTAAAGGTGATGTCACGCGAAATTCAGTTGGCTTTCGCGGCCGCCTCGATGGCCACCTCCGACGCGGCCCTTTCGACGGATGTCGTTGCCCCCGAACGGTTGGGGGTTGTGTACGGAACCGACTTTCTCCACTGCGATCTCGAGGAAGTCGTACCGGCTTTCGCGGCTTGCGCGCGAGCTGGACAATTTGAATTCGAACACTGGGGAATCGAGGCCCCGGAAGCGATCCATCCATTGTGGATGTTGAAGTACCTCCCCAACATGCCGGCATGTCACATCGGCATTGCCAACGACGCGCGCGGCCCCAACAACTCGGTCACGCTCGGCGATGTCTCCAGCCTGACGGCCATCGACGAAGCGCTGCACGTCATCCGTCGCGGTCAGGCAGACGTGATGATCGCCGGCGGGACGGGCTCACGGCTGCATCCCAGCGTGTGGGTGCGCAGCTTCCTAGGACAAGTCTCGCACCGTGGCGAATCGCCCGAGCGAGCCTCGCGTCCGTTCGATAAGAACCGCGATGGTGTGGTCAACGGCGAAGGGGCCGCCGCGATTGTGCTCGAGCGGCGCGAACATGCTCAAGCCCGCAGGGCAAAAGTCCTCGCTACGATTCGCGCGACTTCGACGCGCTTCGAACCTCGCCAAGCCGACAGGTCGCTGGAGGGAAAAGCCATCGCCGGGGTGATTCAAGCCACGCTGGAAGAAGCGAACCTGACGCCGGCCGACATCGGGCACGTCAACGCGCACGGGTTGAGCACCACCACCGACGACAAGATCGAAGCCCAAGCCATCCGCGCGACCTTGGGCGATGTTCCGGTGTTCGCCCCCAAGAGCTACTTCGGCAACCTGGGCTCCGGAGGAGGCAGCGTGGAGTTGGTCGCCAGCGTGCTAGCACTACAGGAGCGGATCGTACCGCCGACGCTGAACTTCGAAGAACCCGATCCTGAGTGCCCGGTGAACGTGGTGCACGGGAAGCCGCTGACGGACACTCGCCCGATCGCTCTTAAACTCAGCCACAACCCCACCGGTCAGGCGGCGGCCATGATCATCTCGGCCGCAGAGTAGTTTCTGCTATCACCCACTTGGGTTCTTCACCGATTTGGCATCCTTCCCCCACCCCCCCACTCAAGCTTGCCCGCGTAGTGCTGTTGGAGATACCCACAACCACGAAGTAGGTTCTTTAGCAGATTGACCTTCTACGCGATGCTTCATTCGGGGGCCTGGTGGAGCATCGCTGACATGGATGGAACCGAGAAATGGATTCACGGATGCGACCAGTTCAATTCGACTGGGCAATGTTGCTGACCTTGGCTGTTCTGTTGCTGAGCGCCGCTCAGCTCACCCAAGC